TTGTAAAATTATCTAAATCTCAATTCATCATAAATATAATAAAGCCAATTTTGTAGAGTGGTTGTGAAGTTTGAGATTTGTGTTCTGGATAAAGTAGATGTTTCACAGGAGGCAGGTAGGAGGATCACCACAAATTCGAGGCCAGCTTGAACTATATAGTGACACTCTGTCTCAAAAAAACAAACAAGAAGAAGTAAATGTTTCAAAACGCTTTTTCTCAAGTCTGATTCTTTTTTTTTTTTTGGTATAAGGGATCGAACTCAGGACCTTGTACTTGTGAGGCAGGTGCTGTGCTGCTGAGCTAAATCCCCCACCAACAGTCTGATTCTTAAACTTTCAATTTGTAATTTCTTGTTGTGTGTACTTGGATTTTTCTTTTTTCTTTTTTGAGACAGAGTCTCTTTTTGTAGTTCAGGTTGGCCTTGAGCTCACTATGTAGCTCAGACTGGCCTCAAATTCACAGCGATCCTCCTGCCTCAGCCTCCCAAATGCTGGGATTACAGGCATGGGCCACCATGTCCGGCTGGATTTTTCTTTATTATGCATATATCTCAACTTTGGCAAAGCAAAACACCATTGTCCCTTTCTTCTCCCCTCCAGCCCCATGGGGACTGAACTCAGGACCTCAGGCTTGCCAGGCAGGTTTGGTGCCACTGAGCTACATCCCCAGGCATGTCCTTCTTGCTGTATTTACCCTCAGCCTTTTAAGCATTCAGGTTTGATAATGCCAGCTTTGCAGCCTTCTCTTATTCTAAGCCCACTTTATTCTAAAAGCTGTCACTTCTCTCTTTTCATCTTCCATTCTCGCCCACCCTACTTTAAACCTTGCTACCTCTCACTTGGTTTAAGTATCTTCTAGTAATTTAGACTCTGGTCTCTTGAAACACGGTGTTCATTGTGTTACTTGCTTTTTCATAAACTTCCTGCGTTCCCCTGTAGAGACTGTGGGTAATCCACTCGAAACTCTTACAGATGTGAATATTGAGGCACAGGGGGAAAATTATTGTCTTCATGTGATAAGAGTCATGCATGTGCCAGGAACAGCATGTGAAGACGAGACTTCATCTTTGCTCACTCACAGGCTAGTTCTTCCCACTGTTGAAGCATAGCCACAGTTCCTTACATGATTCCTGAGTCTGTGCCTGGTTTGGCTCCATTCTGTTTTTACCTACTGTATTTTCAACTTTTCTTGTACCTAGAGTCTAACTCTAGGATGGTAAACCTTGTAGAACTTTCAGTAATACGAACAGCCTGCTGCAGCACGTGTGCCATAGGTTCACCACCACTGGACTCATTCTCTAAAGGTATTAATATTATTCCTTGTACCTCAGATGCACTTTGTTCCTCCTACCCTTACTTTGAAATTCTGTCTATTCTATAAATCCCAAGTCAGTCAGATGACTTTTCTCTCCTACCAAGCCAGAAAATCCTGTCCTCCTAGCGTGTGCATTGCATCTGACCACATTCTGCTTTGTGCTGTAATTATTCATGTGTATGTTAGCAAAGTCAATAGATTATGAACCCCATTCAGGCAACAGGTTCTCCATATAACTTTTTAGGGTGAGAACCATTCATTCCTTGACTATAAGGTATGCTTCTCCTAACCTTGCATCAAGGTGGATGTTCTGACTTGATTTTTCGGCCAAGAGTAATTAAAAGAATGGACCTAGATTTGGGAATGAACTCTTTTTTCTTTATCATGCTTGTCAGTCCCTGAAATAATCCTTCTCCCCCCCCCCCCGCTTTTAGTTTAGTTTAGTTTTCATTTTTTTGGTTTTTGAGATAGGGTTGCACCATGTAGCACTTTTTGGATTTTGTGTCATAATGTTGCCTGGGCTGGTCTTTAGTTTTTATTTTATTTTGGGGGGGGAGGTACCAGGGATCGAACTCAGGACCTTGTGCTTGCAAGGCAGGCGCAGTGCCACTGAGCTAAATCCCCAGCCTTGGTCTTTAGTTTTTTGAGACAGGGTCTCACTGGGTAGTCCAGGCTAGTCTTGAACTCACTATGTGTCCAAGGTATGGTGATCTTCCTGTGTCGGCCTCCCAAGTGCTGAGATTACAGGTGTGTGCCACCACCTGGCCTGCCCAGGCTGGTCTTGAACTACCCTACTTCCACTTCCCAAGTAGCTATGACTCCAGGTACATGCCACCATACCTGGTTCTGCTTTTCCTTTTTTATGAACAGAATTGAGAACATACCGTATGTATTTTTTTTTCATTTTGTGCAGAATTGATCACTATAGAGGAACTGACAACATGTTTATACACATATATATTGGAAGCATAATTTTGCCAAATAATGTCTTAAAGTATCAGTCAGCATGTCCTAAATTTGGCTTTAAGGGTTTATTGTGGCTTTATATAATTAAGTTGAACTCAATTGTTTGTTCCTTCTTTCCATGTCTTTTTTTGCTTGTTTTTATTGTTGCTGTTTTTTAGGGTCTCGATATGTAGTTCAGGCTGGCCTTGAACTCACTATGTAGCCCAGGGCAGCCTCAAATTCGTGGTAATCCTCTTGCTTCAGCCTCCCAAGTGCTGGGATTACAGGCATGCACCACCTCACTGAACTCCATGTCTTTTTCTTGTTAGAGAAAAGGCTGACAGTATTTGATGATTCAGTTATAAACAAGAAAGCAGATACACAGGTATTATATGTTATTTGGTACATTCAGGTATACTCCAAAGAACATGAAGAGTATTATAGTTATTTTATCCAGAAAGAAGAGATAATAAATATATATTTTTAAAAACCAACCAAGCATGGTGGTATATGCCTATAATCCCGGCACTTGGGAGGCTGAGGCAGAAGGATTGCCTCAAGTTCAAGGCCAGCCTGGAATATATATTAAGATCCTATTCATAAAAAGCAAAATAAGCTGGGTATGGTGGCACATGCCTATAATCCCAGCACTCTGAAGGCTGAAGGAAGAGGATCACAAGTTCAAGCCCAACCTGAGCAATTTAACAATTTAGATCTTATCTCCAAAAAAGGCCTGGAGATGTAGCTCAATATAAAGGTCCTGGGCTCAGTCCCCAGTACCACTACCACCAACAAAAAAAAACCCAAACCAAAACAACAGGAACAAAAAGCCCTATCATTTATTGTCTACTTATTCTGGATCAGCATTATTTCTTCTATATCTTATTTATTTCTCATAAGAATACCATTATTATGGATGAGAAATCTGAGTTTTAGGAAAGGTGCACAGCTTTGAGTGACAAGGCCAAGGCACATGCTTTAATGCCAGAGCTCCTTTCCATTACTGTGTACTATGCCTGTTTCCAACAAGGAGACTAAAACAAATTTAAAACAAAATTTTTTTTTTCAGTACCAGGAATCAAACTCAGGACCTTGCACTTGCCAGGCAGGCTCGGCACCACTGAGCTACATCCCTGACCCTCTTCTTCTTCTTTTTTTTTTTTTTTTTGAATCAACAAAAATTTTAAAAGGCTAGTATTAGTTTCAGCCAGTGTTATAGTCAGAAGAACAAAGTAAACCAGGCATGGTAGCAAACCCTTCTAATCCCAGCACTTGAGAGGCTGAGGCAGGAGGATCACCTCTAGTTTGAGGCCAGCCTGGGCTACACAGGACCAACCTAAAGTACAAAGTGAGGCCTGTCTCAAAAAAAAAAATAAATAAATAAATAAAAGAAGAAGAATAAAGTGGTACATGTGGAAAAGCAGCATGGTCTTTAGGGTTGCCTGTCACCTGCTTTGCATCATGAGACTTTTAGTGTGACCCGGCCAGGGGTCAGCAGGCCAGTGTTTTTCTGTTGCCAGGCTGTTGGACCAGAACCCAGTGAACAGTACTCTACCCGAGTAGTTATGCTCTTTAGTTGTCAGGAGAGCTGCAGGAAGCTCCTTAATTTATATTTTTTGTTCTTCAAATAAGGAAACTATTGACTCATTTCTTTTTTTGTCTTTTTTATTTTGGTACTGGAGAATGAACTTGGGTCCTTGTGCTTGCGCAGCAGGTGGTGAAACCACTGAGCTAAATCCCTACCCCTATTGACTCATTTCTAATCTCACCTCCTCTGGACAAAGTTTGGAACTCCTTTGATAATTCTTGGGGCACAAAACCCCAACCAAGCCAGGTTAATGGGTAGGGACTAAATGATATCAAGAATATGGCTGTATATATTCTTCAACCTGAAGGGCTTTTTAGAAAAGAATTTAAGTATAGAAGTTTTATCCTCTGAATTTAAAGTACATTATACTTCTCCACTTGTTAAAAAGCTTTACAATAATAAGAATGATAAGAACCAATAATATACTTAAAATGCTCTTTATACTACTGTAATATGCCTTTTATGTTAAATGTATTATCTCCCTAAATCTATGTTAAGTCCTTAGAAAAACAAGTATTATCTTCATTTTTCAGCTAAAGAAGACTGCTTAAGTTTTGTTTTTTTTTTTCAGTCTTGGCAAGCACTATACCACTGAGCTACATCCTCAGCCCCAAGATTATATAATTGTTCAAGGTTACCAAAGTTACACTCTTACTGAAGTCTTCTTACCCTCAAAGCCTTTTTCTTTTAAATATGCCAGCTCTCTTCCCCAGCACTGAGTATCCAATGCTACAGAGCTGGGATGGGGAGGGGGTATCAAAAGAAACTTGGGTGTAGGTGGAGCCTAATTGGGACTTGACTCTACTGAGATGTTGATGGTACCTCCCCTGGAATGTAATTCAGAAAAGGGGAACATTTCACTCCAAATGTGTTTTGGGAACAAACATAAGTTTGAGGTAAGGCCAGTTGATATTTACACAGTGGGATCAGTCATAAAATGATGGAACTGGAAGGAACCTTAGAGATCATCCAGGAAAAGGCAACCCACAGATATTGAATCATTTGACCAAGGTTCCACTGTTTTGGGGAGAACCTGTACAGGAATGTGGTCTGGTAGTTTGGACTTTCTATTCTCAGTTACCCACACCCCTGCCAATCTTAGGATGCTGGAGAATTCTTTCTTATGTCTAATCATCTGACTTTGTTGCATAGGTGTTTCAATATCTGTAAGACAAAATGGAATCAACTCCTTTTAATAGACGACAGTGGACTTCCCTATCATTAAGGGTAACAGCCAAAGAACTTTCTCTCATCAACAAGAACAAGTCATCAGCTATTATGGAAATATTCTCCAAGTAAGTACTGATCCTAGTCCAAAAGGCCATCTGTCTTGAGCACATAATACCACGTGTCAGGGAAATCGGTGAAGAAAATATGTGGTGTAAAGTTATTTCCTTGAGAACCCCTTGCATTTTAAGCACCCAACAGGGCACCATGGAGAAGGAAGCTAACCAGAAGAGACACTCTCTGTCTTTGAATTTTTAATTAGGAGAAATAAAAGCTTTCAAAAGATAATAAAACACATAATTATGAAGTAAAGTATCATCAAATCTAAAATGAATAGGAATGAGGACTGTATGTCAAATAAGAGAGAGAATGAACATTATTGGCAGAAGCTGATCAGGAAGACTTTCCTGGTTAAGATGAATTTAAAATTCAATTTATCAACTACACTTGTCACATTTTAAGTCCCCACTAACTACTTATAGTTGGTACCTATTATATGTTTTGGGTTTTTTTGGTACCAGGGATTGAATTCGAGTCCTTGTGCTTGCACAGCAGGCAGTGAAACCACTGAGCTAAATTCCCGGCCCCAAGAAATTTCTTTTTTTTTTTTTTTGGTACCGGGGATCGAACTCAGGTCCTTGCACTTGCACAGCCGGCGGTGAAACCATTGAGCTAAATCCCCGGCCCAGTTGGTACCTAGTATACTGCAAAGCACAAAAACATTTCATCATTGCAAGAAATCCTGCTGCACAGTGCAACTACATGGGCAAAGTGCAGTCCACTGCTGTTTGGTAAGAAGGATTTATTGGAGCATAGCCATACCCATTTATAGATTGTCTATGGTTGCTTCCAACTACAGCAGCAGAGTTACTAGTTGCAACAGAGACCATATCACCCTGAGTCTAAAGCATGTACTATTTGGCCCTTTAAGAAAAAGTTTCATGGCTCCTCCTCTGTATCATGAGCTCTCTAATATAAGAGCTCCTTTCCTGCTCACTTTACATCCACAGTAGTAGGAGAGTGACTGCAACATAGGCAGCACTCAACAAAAATCGTCTGTGTAAATAATACATCAGAGATGGCAAATAGAGACACCGTGTCGGGAGGAGCCTAGGGCAGGTGGTAGGTTTACATCACTTGGAAAGTTTGTTAGTTAACAGGAATTGACTGCACAATTCTGAGAAGAAAGATGTTAAAGATTTGAAGAAAGTGACTCTAGGAGTTATATCCAGGATACAGCTAAATGCCAGTAGGAGGTTTCTGTAATCTACTCTGTTATCTTTTCTTCAATATCAAATTCCTTAGACACCTGCTATGGGGAAAAAGCTGCCCTTCCACAGCCCTGACCTTGGTTATCACCTAAGATGGAATGGAGATGCTGGGAACACTATATAGGCCTTTTTGTTCTTTTCTAAAACACTGGTTTTATTTTTGCATATTCTCTTTTTAGGCATATAAAGTTTACATTGCTTAACCACAGTGAATATATACGTTTATGTCTTTTTCGTTACACTTATTGTTATATTTAATGTAATATTTAAAAATAATACGTAACATCAACCTTGCATACTAAAATCTATTGAATTTTAACATTCTAGGATTGTTGGAAATTTTTGTGCTTCTAATTTTTCATTAAAATGAATAACCTGTTTTATGAATTTTTTCCCTCTAACTTCATAGTCTAGTGAGTTAAAAGTTAAAGCATTTATATAAATAATATAAATTTCTACATTCCAAAGGAATTATACTAGTTTATACTGATACTGACAATATATGAGTTCCCGCAATAGATTTTTCATGTAAGATTTCACCACAGTTTTATCAACATTGATGTTATAATTTCAGTGTTTTTTAAACTTTAATAAGTTTAAACTTTATTAGTACATGTTCACAGTACATAATGATTGCATTTATTGTGGGGAGTTGGTACATGTACATAATACCATAATACATCTTAATTCTTTTTTTCCTCTACCCCTCTTCTCCCTCCCTGCTCCTTCCTCCCATTTGCAGAAGCTCTGTTTTCATCATCTTCCTTTCATTTCTTCTTTTTCCATCCCATTTCTCTTCCCTCCCTACCCTGTTCCTTCATCTTGTTCCCCCATACATTTGAAAAAGATCTACTTCCTACTTATTTATCTTCTATTTCTCTGTCTCTGTCTCTCTCTCTCTCTATATATATACAGTTTTTCTATATATACATATATTCTATATATGTATATATTTATACATATATATACATATATAGTTTTTCATATAAGAGAAACCATGCAATATTTAAGCTTATATGTCTGACTTATTTCACTTAACATTATATTCTCAAGTTGCATTCTTGCCCACAAATGCTTCAAGTTTATCCTTCTTCATGGCAGAGTAGTACTCTATTATGTATAAATATCACATTTTCTTTGTCCATTTATCTGTTGATGGGCATATAGGCCATTTCCAAGATTTAGCTATTATAAATTGTGCTGCTATAAACACTGATATGCATGTATTCCTGTAATATGATGACTTTGGGAAGATACATAGAAGGGGAATAGGTGGGTCAAATGGAACTATTTTTAGTTAGTTATTTTTGTGGTTTTTTGGGGGTACCGGGGATCGAACTTGGGACCTTGTGCTTTTGAGGCAGGTGCCAGACCACTGAGCTAAATCCCTGGCCCTGTTTTTAGATTTTTGAGGAATCTTCACAATGATTTTTTTTTTTTTTTGAGACAAGATCTTGCTATGCAGTTCAAGCTGGCCTTGAACTCACTATGTAGCCCAGGCTGGCCTCAAATTTGCAGCAAAATTCCTGCCTCAGCCTCCCAACTGCTGGGATTAGAAGTATGCGCCACCACACCTGGCCTCCACAGTGATTTCTATAGTGGTTGGTTTTTTTGGGGTTTTTTTTGGTACCGGGGATCGAACTCGGGTCCTTGTGCTTGAGAGGCAGGCAACGGAACCACTGAGCTAAATCCCCGGCCCTAGGATGATTTCTTAAAAAAGGAATAGTAAGTGAATAAGAACTCATGGAAATTAAAGCCTGTCAGCAGAAAAAATTTTAAAAATCAATAGAAGGATGGGAAACTAAAATTGAAGAAGTCTTTTAGAAAGCAGAATAAAAAGATAGTTTAGGCAGTAGCACATGCCTATAATCCCAGTACTTGGGAGGCTGAATCAGAAGCATTTCTGTGAGTTCAAAGCCAGGCTCGGCTACATAGTGAGTTCAAGGCTAGTCTAAACTACACAGTGAGACCCTGTCTCCAAAAAACAAAACAAACAAAAAAGATGGCTTAACAGTAAAAAGAGATAAAAACTGTACTATTAATTCATGAGATCCAACATCTAAACAATATGAATTCCAGAAAGAAAGAAAAAGCAAAGAGACAAAGAAAAGGAAATTATTAGAGAAAGAATATATGAAAAAAATTTCAGAACTGAAGGATACATTTTTTTAGTTTGGAAAGGCTGAACAAAAACCTAGCACAATGAATGAAAAATACATACATGTGGGTATGTTTGTGTATTATGTATACATATGTATATATGTGCATAAGGGATATATATACACACATACATGTATTATATAGAGGGTGTTTGTTTTTTATTTCTCTGCATAGGCCTTTTACTTTCTAATGCATTTTATATTGTAATTTTATGTCAAACATATGTCAAACATATCTTCATCAAGAAGATAAAATCAGTAAGTTAGGTGCTGTAGTGCCTACCTGTAATCCCAGCACTCTTGAAGGCAGAGACAGTATAGAAAGTTCTAGCCTGACCTGGGAAACTTAGCAACTTAGTGTGGGACTCAGTTTCAAAATTTTAAAACAAAAAAGGTCTGGAGATGTAGCTCAGTGCAAGGCCAAAAGAAAACAAAATTAATAATGATATTTTAGGAAAGAAAGGATGGAAACCTATCAAAACCTAACCCTGACTTCAAGGAACTTAACAGTATAATTTAGATTCCCCACCTTTCCTGATCTTAGGATTTACTTGACTTAAAAAAAAAAGAACCCGGGGCCAGGGATTTAGCTCAGTGGTGCCACTGCCTCACAAGTTTAAAATCCCAGGTTCGATCTCCAGTACCAAAAAAACAAACAAACCTGGACTAGAATGTTTGCCCAGCATGTGGTGCTTGGTTCAGTCCCCAGTACTACAAAAAAAAAAAAAAAAGTCACATGGCACATTTATTAATAATATATAGTATTCCAGATGTCTATTGCTGTGTTAAAATAAATAAATAAAACAAAAAACTAAGGACTGTGTTAGAGCACCTGCTTAGCATGCACACGACCCTGGATTTGATCTCTAGCATCAGAAAAACAAACAAAAATCTCCAAAATTTAGAGGCATAAAATAATGACAGCATTTATTTTGCTTGTGAGTCTTCAGTTTGGGCAGAGTTTATCTCCGCTCTACTTAGCATTAGCCAGGGTGGCTGAGAGGCTGGGGACCACAATCATGTAAAGGCTCACTCACCCACAAGGCAGGCAGTTGATGTTGTCGCCAGCTGGAATCTCAGTTGGGCATGGTTGAAACACCTACACATGGCCATTCCATGTGCCTGGCTTCCAAGGGCAAACATCCAGGGACAGGGAGGGAACAAAGGAGGAAGGGAACTACAAGGTGTGCTTCCTTTTATTACCTTAGCTTCAGAAGTCATGCACCGGCCCCTTGGCCACATTCACTTCTTATAAGTGAGTCACCCCAGCTGGGTATGGGCATGGCACTCCTGTAATCCTAGCACTCTGGGAGGCTGAGCCAGGAGGATCCCAAGTTTGAACCCAGCCCGGGTAATTTAGCAAGACCTTGTCTCAAAATAAAAGGTTTTTAAAAGAGCAGGGGTGGGGCCGGGGATTTAGCTCAGTGGTTTCCCACCTGCCTGCTGCACAAGGTCAAGGACCTGAGTTCGATCTCCGGTACCAAAAACAAAATGAAACAAAAAAAGAGCAGGGGTGTATAGCTCAGTGAGAAGCCCCTAGATTCAATTCCTAGTACCACACACAAAAAAAGACAAATCAGGATGGTACCTATCCAGGAGGAATTTCACTCCACTTTCTGATGGGAGGAATGTCAAAGT